ATAACCACATTTGAGACCACCAGTTTTATCATTTTTATCGCATATACAACCACCTGCATTACCACAAGCAGCAACTGATGTCAATGCAGAAACATCTACTTGAAGAGTAGAAAATGCCTGATTAACTATTGAAATGACCACGATAAAAGTGGACAACGCAGTGAATAAAAGTCTCATTTTTTATTATTTGTTTAAAGAAAAATATTATTGATTATTTGATAATGATTGAAAAAAATATGGAAATATTCTTGTATTGATAAAAAATTAAGTGAATAGTGAATAGAACGTATGGAGTGCATAGAATTTATAATTTGGGCAGAGTGTTACAGAAAATGGAGAAATCGACAAATTATCAAAAAATTTTTTTTATACAATTCAATTTAGAATAAGAATAGGATCATGATTTTTTATAAAATTTATAACATAAAAGTCGATTTCCCCTTTTCTGTAGCACCTGCACATTTAACTTTAAACGCTGCAGTAAACCATTAAATTAAATTAAATACATTTTAAATGAATGATTCTTTTTCTTTTTTTTTATCTTTAACGTTAAAGAAAGAAATATCCGAAACAAAGTGTATGTTCTGCACGAGGAAAAATAAACTCTTGCACATGATTGGTCGGCGTCATCATAACAAAGTGTAATTAAATTCACGTTACTTTGGTACTTTGTAGCTAGCTATAAAAAGTTAGTAAAATTCTTTATATAGATATATATAAATCCGGATAATTTTCTACAAATGTGCAGTAACGGTAATACATTTTCCAAAAACAAATTTGTATGTCATCTTTTTAATAAGTTATCGAAAAAGCTGCTATTATCTAAAATGTAGATTACAAGAAAATGAGAAAAAGAAATAATTACACCATTTACAGCAAATATATTACTAATGTTAATTTTAAGTATACGTATTAATAATTAATTAAGTGATTCTAATTAAATGCATTGAGCCATCTAATTCATTAAACACATCGATTGTTTAATTAATTAATTAATTTAAAATCTTCACTGTAATTACCTAGATTGGAAAAAAGTATAGAATCTATTCACTATTCTGAATGTTGTGTTATATTTATTATATATTCGAATTCGACTACAGAACAGATAGATACATTCTGTACCAATTTTCCAATTATCTGCCTCTAATTGAAGTACTATCTTGTCGAAAGTTATTTAAACATCAAACACAGGTCAGTAATAAATTCTCTTGCTAGCAACTTTTGAAAAAAAAAAACCGGTAAACAAAATGAATCGCCATATCATTATTTTCTTGAACTTCTTGATCTTTCTTATTTCTAGTACCTTTGCTGCTTGTGGTAATGCAGGTGGTTGTATATGCGATAAAAATGATAAAACTGGTGGTCTCAAATGTGGTTATGAACTTAATAATCGTAAATATTTTTTTCAGTTATGATAATATTTAGTCAACTTTATCATATAAAGAAAACATTATCAGTAACGATTCTATTTCGAAAATATAGATTGTCCTTCTGATCCCAGCTCTATATTCCAATGTAGTCCTAATAGTGGTAGCATTTGTCGATATGGTTCTTGCTCGTATGGATGCTGTGCAGTCGGTAATGGGAAAAGTTACTGTTGCAAAGACAATAAATGTTCAGGATGTCCCTCTGGTAAATGGATTAAGAAAGACTCCCAACCTCCTTCTAATCCACCTCCTTCTAACCCACCACTCTCTAACCCACCTCCTTCTAACCCACCACCCTCTAACCCACCTCCTTCTAACCCTTCCGGTTATGATAGACAAAAGGCAGTAAATTATGCTGGACAATATTGTTTGCATCCAAATTCGAATTATGAAAATTATGATAAAAAAGGAGGTGATTGTACTAATTTCGCTTCACAAGTTTTACATGCAGGTGGTATTCCTACAGACAATATTTGGAAACCGGGATCTACTGCATGGGTTAATGTGCAAGCGTTTTACAATTATCTTATTAGTCATAACTTGGCAAAAGAATGCCAATTGACTGAACTGAAACCAGGTGACTTTATACAATATTACAGTTCAACCTGGTCACATACTGTTGTGGTTGTAAAATCCGGTGCAAACCCTACAGTTGATTCTCACAGTGCATTTAAATGTAATAGTTTACATAGTTATTTTAGAAAAGGGTTTAATAACGATAGAGGTGTTTGCATTACGAAATGATCTGATTATCCATTAATTACATTATTATAATAACCATAGAGGTGTTTATATTTCTAACATTAATTACATTATTATAAAATTATAAATCTTCATTTAACTTTAATAAATTTAAAATTAATTTCAATCAAAAATAATTACATTAATTAACACCTTTGTTCTTGATTTTTCTTAGAGAACTTATTCTAATAAAAATATCCTAAAGCATAATACAAGCGTTATTGAAATAATAAAAATATAAGTTTCACTATTATAAGATGTATAGATAATTCAATTAATGATATTTTTCCAGTTCTTTGTTCTCCTAATTCTAAAGAAGATAATTAAATCATAAGGTAATATAACTATGCTTCCCTCTAAAAATTCATTTATGAATAATAGAATTATAATATATATTTAGAAGAATAAAAAAAATACGTATTGTCACGTTTTAAAGTTTAAACCCTTGACTTAGATGTGACTCGGTAAACGCCCAAATTACCTGAGCCACAAGAAAATTATGAAGCTTCTAAGTGGTGAGCAATATTTGGTGGCTATCCTAGCGCGGGTTGCCCACAACCCGAAGACTGATTGCTGGGAAGATACGGTTGAGATTAAAGATAGCGCAGTAGCTTTTAGTAAAATAAAAGGTATTTAAAGCCTGAGTTTTCACCTTGGTAAAGTTTTCTCAGACAATGTGTCTCAGACTACGACGCCTTAATTATATAATTTATAATAAGAATCGGTCGAATTTTCACATGTGTTGTATTTGACTTTCGTGTACATCACGAAGTTGTTTTTATGTAGAATTATGTAAATATTTTATGTATATTTTATTTAAAAATTATGTATAGGTCTATAAACCCAATGTAGACTTGCATAATTATAATTTATACATAAATATAATTATAAATAATATTTATTTAATAGTTATCTAAAATTTAGCAAATGTAATGATATGTTTGGTAGTCAAATAAATAAATAGGTAGATAAAAATAAAAGTTATAATTAGAGGTATAGTTAAAATTAGGGTAAAATTACGAGAGGAACATTTTTTGATTAGTAACACAATAGGTGTTACCTTAGTAAAATTTTGAGATATTGGCTAATTCTTTTCTTTAAAATTTATATTAAAATTTATTTAAGTTTTATAATATATGAAGGTTATATAATTGTATAAAATATATAAAATTTATATAAAATTTTTATTTAAATTTTATGATATATAAAATTTTTATTTAATTTTATGATACAAAAATTATAATATATAAAGTTTATACTGTATAAAAATTATATTTAGATATTATGGCATATAAAAATTACCTAATTGCATAAAATTTATACATATATAACATTTACATAATTTTTTTTTTATAAAATTATATTTATATAAGTTTACATAAATTTTATATAAATTTTATATTAAATAATATATATATATATTTTTTGTTGTTAAGATGAGGCCTTGCTTATATCTTTATTGATTTTTTATATAAGTAGTCACATAAAAACTATATAAAAACTTAATTTGTACAAAGACAAATAAATATAAATTATATCAAGAATAGGAGCTTAGACTAAAAGCTTAAACTAAAAGCTTAAACTAATTATCTGTGACCTAAACCTACTAAAGCGGTCAAGACTCACCTAGGTTTGAATAGTTAAAATATTATTAATAAGTATACTATTTGATTCACTTAGTAAACCAGATATCAAGTTTGGCAAGTGCTTGTTCTAGAGAAGGGCAAGTATTGGGTTTAGAGTGTAGTTGGTTAGTGAAGTCACAAGAGCAGTTATAGGTATATTTAGTTTTACCTCTCTTATTTGTGGGAGTTGAAGATAGATTAGATATTGTATGAGTATTAGGTTGAAGAGAGATTTGATGTACTTTTTTCTAATGAAAAAAGTTGGCAAAGTAGAGAATTCATATTTGATGATATAGTTGGTTAGAAATTTTGAGAAGTATTTAAATAATAAGTTGAGAGGCATTTGAATAAGAGATATTAAAGGGTCAAGAGCTTGGATTAGAAATATTGGTATAAGACCTTTAATTGTGAAGTAGAGAGAGTAGGGGTAAAGAAATGAAAGTAAAGGATTAAAGAAAGGGTGTGAAGAAATAGCGAGTATAAGATTGCATTATTGGTGTATATAGAAATTAAAGTTGGAGTTAGAGATAATATTGGATATTGAAGAGTAAATAGTTTGAATTAAAAGAATACTATTGGAGCAAGTATACCAATAAGAGAGAGTATCTAAACAGTTGCAGGAAAAGCAATTGTAAGATGTAAAAATAAGAGGATAAATAGAGTAGAAGTATGCATGTATTAGTAAAATGTTGAGAAGCATTTTGATTTTAAAAGATTTTAGATAATTTAGTTTGGAGTTAGTAAAATTGTGTAAAATTTTTTTATTGTTGTTAAAATATAATTAGAAAGCTTTTCAGTTAATCAAGTAGAAAAAATGTGACCATTCTTGAACAAATTGTTGAAAGTGAGAAGTAAGATTAGTATGAATATGGTTGGCAAAATATTCCCATTTAAAGAATTTAGTTAAAGATTCTGCGGCATGTTTGGGTTTTATATCTATGTTGCCCTAGTAAGGCATATAGGAAGAATCATTAAGAGATAAGAATTTTGTGATCACTAAGGAAGTTAGTATTGGTGTTATCAGTTCGAACAAGGTTAAATAGGTTGAAATTATATGGTAGTTCCAAATAAGTCAATTTTACTACTAAATCTTGAACTCTGCCAAGTAGGAGTGGATAAGGAAGTATGAGCAGCTAGATTGTATATGTTGTTGAAAGAAAGGAATTGAAAAAGTTTAAATTTGATAGAGGAAGAGACAGTTGAGTTTGTAGAGGCATTAAAATCACCAAGTACAATAGGGAGCAGGTTGAAGAAGATTGCTTGTTGGATCCATTGGATTATGAGATTTTGGGTATGCAGTCTGGTGTTGGGGTTATCACAAGGAAGATAAGTTGAGATAATGCGAAATTTGAAGTAATGTTTAAAGAAGAGATTAATAAATATAGCATATCCAGGGTGAGTAGTTATATTGTAAATATGGGAGATAAGATGATTGCAGATCATAATAGTAGTGCTGGCTTTAGAACGGTCTGCACATAACTAGTAATAGATATAAAAAGGGTGGAGTAAGGTTTTGAGCAGAATGAATTAAAAGCTAGTTTGGTTTCAGTTAAACTAATAATATTTAGGTTTTGAATAAGGCAGTATTCTTTCCAGACTTGTTGTTTTAGTTTTTAGTTGTAGCCACAAATATTGTAAGTATAAATTGAAAGGTTAAAGGAAGAGTAGAGTGGGTTGGAGGTTGGGGTGTTGTATATATAAGAGAATTTAAGAGAAATAAAGAAAAATTGAGTAATAATATGGTCTGGTAGAGGGCACAGTTCATTGGGTAAGTAAATATATGCTTCACTAAAGTCCAGTTTAATAGATATAACTATTTGGTCTTGAATTTCACTCTATAGTCCTATGCATGCTAGATGTAAGAGAAAGGAGTTAAAGATTTGAAGAGATTGGATTAAAGGACTATTATGTGCTAAAAGAAAGTGATTAAAGTAAATAGATGGGTCAAAAGTTATAAGAAAGATTTTGGGTTTGTCTTCTACAATATCACTCATCATATACCTGGCTCTCACAGTTCCACATGAGTTAGAAGTACTCAGATTGGATATTAGAATGCTATCATTATCTAGCTCTTTCGAGTAAATAGGCTTATCCACCTGCCTACTTACTTTATCTTCCTAATTAAATGCTATAGATGTCTCTTTTATTAAGATGATGGCTATATTTATAGGGGTTGTAGAAAACAGGTTTAGTGAAAAGGGGGTTGAGAAGAGATTTGGATAGTGAGATGGAGAAGAAAAAGTAGAAGGACTTGGATTAGAGTTATTATAAATATTAAAGCTATTAGGTGGAGATGTAATAGAAGGGAGTGTAGCTATGCTAGCATCAGAGTTAATAATAACAGGAGGTTTAAGATTATTAGAGGAAGTAGAAGTAAAAGGTTTAAAAAAGAATAGAGAGTCATCAATATTTGAGAGGACAATAAAGTTGAGATTGAATTTGTTAGCAAGAATTTTTTTAGCTTCAGAGTAAGCTTTGTCCTTGTAATATTTAGAGATTGCAAAGGATAATGGTTGTTTGTTTTTGACAATATCAAAGTAGATAATAATATGAGCAAGAAAGTTAATTTTAATAAGGTCTTGTATAAGAAGGAATATGGCCTGTTCTTTAGAGAGTTGGTTAATATTGTGGTTTTGAGTGGCAATTTTATGATAAGCAATGAAGTATTTATAGAGAAAGATATTGCATCTGCCTGATGAAGTAGAAGTTAAGTTATTTTTACAAAAAGATTGTTCAGTAAGATCTGCTAATTTATTAAGAGTAGAAGTAGAAATAGGCTAATAGAATATGGCTTGATATTTTTGGTCCTTAAAGAAAACAGAGAAATTGATATGGAGGTCTTGTAAGTTTAATTCTTCTTTAGAGTAAGTTTTAAATAAGTCTTCAAGAATGGTTTTAAAAAGTATAGAAGTGTTATACTTATAATTAGAGACATAGAGCCAATTGGTATGTTTGTATATAAAAAGGTAAAAGTTAAAGTAGTGAAAGCATTCATTTCATCTATTCTGAAAATTATAAAGTTTAAGAAAAAGAATTTGAGTAGGAAAAAGGTTTTTTAATTGAGAGACAAATTGTTTTCAGATTTAAGATTTTAGGAAGTTTTTATTATCATCTTTGTTAGGAATTGTAATAAATTGTTTGCTATAGGCAGGAAAGACCTTTTCAAACTATGCTTTAAAGCGGTCAAAAAAGTTTTGAGGTGAGGAAATGGAGAATTGTTGGAGAAGGAGAGTTTTAAGAATATTGAACAAAAGTTGTATGTTGAATCTACTATTAGATTTGATAGTAAAAAATTTGTCTTTTTTGTCAAAGGAGATAACAAAGAAGGTGAATTTAAAATTTTTTGGACAAAAGTTGAAGTCTTCAGCAAATTTGTTA